AATCAATTTATGACTTTGTGATGTTTTACATAAATCACCACATACAAACGTCGATTTTGCATTAGATAAGTACATATATTAAGTTTAGCAACGTGATTTTGAAGCAATTCATATTACTAACTCGAGAGGTTATCTAACCAAGTTGTCCATGAAATTTTTTTGTGTAAATTAAGCTTTATTTTATTTGAGGACAAATAATTGTTTAAGTTTAGTGATGGTTGATATGTATATTTTATACACTTATTTGAGTTGTTAAACTCAATCAATTATTGTGATTTCAAATGAATTGATGCTTAATTTTATATAAATTTTGTTTGTTAGGCAAAGTTCAATGCAAAATGATGGAATTGGAGAAAAAAGTGAGAAAAAAGATAAAATAGAAAAAACCAAAAGTTTGAGTACCAAAATGTAAATCTAAAAGATGATTGGGGCCGAATGATGACAATGTGAGAGTTCTAGGATTTAATTTGATGCATTGAAAAATCAAAAGATTGTAAAAGAAATAAAATAGGACCAAGATGCACACAAGAGTAAAAGGAGGGACCAAATCGCAAAACCTTGAAAACATCCAAGTGGTGCGCGCGCCTTTCAATTGGAGAATCAGAGAGTTTAACTAGTCCATAGCGTGTGGGCGCCACACAAAATTTTCTTGATCTCGTTGATTTCCCATTTCGAGTCAAATTCCTTCTTATTTAGATTTATATCATCTATTTAACCTACTAGAGGTTGTAAGGGACATACATACCACATAATATACCATAATTCCACCACAAAGAAGAGGTCTAGCATGAATTAGAAGGCAATTAAGGTAGGAAGTTAAGATTTAAAGTCTGGTTTGATGATTAGCGAAAAATAGCCTGATTTTCACTTTCCAATCATTGTTTTCAAATTTAGTCGATGTTATTCATTTATAGGGTAGATTCCAAGAAATTCGTGCATTTCTACAAGAGAGATTCAGATAGTTCCTCCAATTCAATTTGTAGGTGTTGAAGAATTGGTTTTTCTGATGCCTCTGGAAGTTCTGCACAGAATTTGCTTCATCTCTTGGTTGAACAAAATTGCTTCCCACGTTGCAGTTCACATTTGCATGATTTCTCCACAGTTTTCACACTTGAATTGCATTAGCTGCCGGATTCATAGTGATACCCTTAACATTCCTTGTCAATGATGCCACCTGGAGGGAAATAACTGTTAATCTGTCGACCTCGTAAAGTCCTACAACTGTTTCTCCACCAAAACAATCTGAAGGAACATTGCATTAAGATTTCTACATTGTAGGCCAGTGCGATTTCTTGCTGTTTTTGTTTTGCTACTTTTGTTCTCTTTTATCTCAATTTAAATGTACATTCGATCTCAAGATCAAATGCACTAACTCATCGTATCTTGAATTTGGCATCCAAGAACCCGAAAAAGAAAGAAGAAACTCTAGTTTTTGAAGTAAAATTGAAGAGTAAAATAAAGCAGGAAAATTTTAATTAATAATTATAATATTAAGAAGATAAATAAATAAATTACTATCCCTAATAATGGAGCCAAAAACTAGTTCCTCTAAAATCTCGCAAGTATACATTATCATAGACAAGTAATAAATAGTGAATAAAATGTTTCCATGTGAACTCCATATTTTTAGGAAGTGTTATGAGAACTAATTAATTAAAAATTACTATGACCTCGTATTCCCCTATATTCTTCTATTTTAATATCAGACCAAGAAATTTGCAACACTTATTTAGATTTGACGATCAAAGTTCATATTTTAACAATCTCTAAATTATCCTCACATACGATCCTACTATATCTCTATGAAGAATATGAATATATAAAGTTGCATTAAGTGATTGATACTATGTACTAAAATTTTTATTCCTTTTCTCGAACAAAATAGGAATCACAAATCTATTCAATTATGGATCAAATAATTGAAAGTATTAATAAACTAACAGCCATTCAAAAAAAAAAAAAAAAGAGAGAGAGAGAAGAAAACAAACATTTATCATGATGAATCATGGTTTCATATATTTGTTTTTAAATTTTCGAAGCACAATGAATGCTTACCCATGTTGATGGTATACATGTTTGACATGTATAAAATACTGACACGCTCGTGGAATACATGTGCCAAGCCACGCGGTGTATCATCTTTTTAAATTTTAGATACGCAATGAATGCTTCATCAACGTGCCTCACATATGTCTGAGAATTGTAAAAGTTGCAGTTAAGGTTCCTGGACATTGTCACTAGGACCATATAGGGATATCACAATCAAATTTTTCCTTATTTTGAGATCTCCAAACATATGCAATTGCAAACATATCTTTTCACTACATAAACCCTCCAAACTTTTGTGAAATTGCCACTCGAGGCAAATGTATTCTTGTCAACCTATTATTTTGCATTAAAATACAATTAAGAAAAGGAAAATGATAAATAGAAAAGAATAACGACATTTTCC